CATGCACAAGAAAAATCAAGTCAAGATGAATTCCATCAATTATATATTTAGATCATTCAAAATGACACAAAAAGGAATAGAAAACATAACCAAGGGATAACTAGCAATTAGTTATTACTTAGATCAAAGTTGTCGACATAATAAGGCGTTGCAATAATTTTGAGAGTCATTAGGATGACTCACCCAAAAGTTCCCATGACACGTGTAGAGATATGAGTGTAATTATCAGAAGTGAGTTTAGCCAAACCGAAATCAGCAACCTGCAGTAGGAAGAATAACAATCGATCGGATATTAGGAAATTTAAGCAAGATACATTAATCCTTAGCGCATATATATATATATATACAGATGCATGTGGTTGTTGATATCAAATATGTTACCATGGCATCAAAGTTGTAGTCAAGAAGAATGTTTGCAGATTTGATATCCCGATGGATAATCCGCGGATGGCCTATATATATACATATATATACACAGAGAATGGTCATTTTAGCAAAATGAAGAGGACATAACACATTATATTATTTGCAACTAACATGAACAGAGTTGATACAAAGTATACTAATTAGTATTTAGTTGTTCATCATACAATCTTCATGTAGGTACGCGAGCCCTTTAGCTGATCCCACCGCGATCTTAAGCCTAGTTGACCAATTCATCACTGGCTGCCCCTTCCCTGCAGATAGAATACATGTATCCCTTCATAAAAAGATGTTGGCACGTACAACATTTTATAATTTACATGAGCACTACACGTACTATATGATCATCAACATCAATTAATTAATTTGTGATGAATCCAGATTTTGTGAATACGTACGTACCATGAAGATGAAATTCCAAGGTTTTATTTGGAACGTACTCGTACACGAGAAGCCTCTGGTGGTTGGCAATGCAATAGCCAACGAGGGAGACAAGATGACGGTGGTGCACACGGGTGATGATTTCAACCTCGGCCTGGAACTCTCTCTCTCCCTGGCCGCTCCCAGTCTTGAGGCTCTTGATGGCCACGACACGGTTATCGGGCAGGATTCCCTTGTGCACGTAACCAAACCCCCCCTGCCCTATAAGGTTAGCCTCACAAAACCCGTCTGTGGCCGCTGCAAGCTCCTCGTAAGTGAACTG